ATATCTTGCTCTGTGCATAGATCTAAACAATGCTGTGCTCGTGTTAAGAATTCATTTCATCTGGTAGAACCTGAATTTCAGGAAAACTGTTTCTTTCTTTCTTACTTTTTTGCTGCAAACAGCTAAATGTCTTTTATAATATAAAATATGGTTTGGAAGTATGCTGTATTTAAAATAGAATCATTTTTAATACCAGTTTCAAGCCTTCCATTTTTTTTCTGAGATGAGAAAGCAGGACAGTGGAAAATATATAAGCAAAGAGCACACCACCGCCATGCCCCCGTTATGTGGACCATAAAGAATTAACATCCAAAAAAATGATTGGTTAAAGCCGAAAGTGCTTTTTTCACTACTACATCTTCTTTTATGGGCTCTTTCAAAATAACAACAGCAATAATTTAGAGGCTGAATGAAAGGTTTACTGTGCTATAACATTTATAGAGGTCTAAAATGAAGGACAACTGAAGAGGAAGGAAGGACAAAGGGACAGCCTGAGAAACAGTTGAGATCTATATGGTTTCCAATAGTTTACAACATTCTTTCTCAGCCTTTTCAAAACAGAGGAAACCTTGAAATAACTGTTTTCAGGGAACCCCTGCTAAAAAATTACTATATCTACAACTCATGATTCATACAGTAAGTGTATTGGTCAGTGGGAAGAATGCTCCTTACACTTGTGGTCATTGGGAAGAATTACCCCCTTACATATAGCTAAAATGATCAATAGTGACAGTGGGAACTTATCTAAAAGACAGAAACTGCTCATTGCTCAAGGTACCCCTAGCAACCTCTGAAGGAACATTAGGGTTCCATGGAACCCTGGTTTAGCATGGCAGTTTTTTAAGTGCACCTGTCATTAGTAAAAATTGTAACCACTAACCAGAATCTTTCATGAAATACAACCTTGGTATAGAATATCAGCATAGTTCTCTAGCAATTTTCTTGGGTAGAGGACACTGCTATCAGCAGGACAAATCTGACAGTACAAACACAGCCCTTTATAAGATGTATGCACTGATAAAGACTATGGCTACTGTTTTTTTTTTTTTTTTGTGGTTTGCTTTACATATTGCAAATAGTAACTTTTTTTTCCATTTGTATAAAACTGTAGAGCAAGAGTATAACTAATGTATATATGGTGGAGGATGCGGGTAGCAATATGATTTGGCTAAAGTGATTGTTTATATAGTTAGGGATTATGTGTATGAGTGCTTTAAAAGCAAATAATGTTGTGTTGTTCATAGATTAAAGGATAAGCTCACCTTTCTCAACATGTTATTTGTTACACCTGTATTTAGGGCGTAACATTTAACATGTTGAGAATCCACTACCACGCCCCCGGATCTGCCTCCTCCTTGCGATAGCAGGAGGGAGGCCTTCTCCCCATTCCCGTTATCACAATTTGAAAACAGCGCAGCTGTGCAGAGCTCCGCCCACACAGTTGCGTCATTCAATAACAGAGTTCTGTGAATGAATACCTACAAGTACCTTCATTGCAGCTGATGGCTTGTAGTTCTCATTGAACTGTGAAGTGCCCTCATAGTCCATTGAGCCTGGCATTGCACACACAATCTGCCGATCGCGGGTGCAATGCTTTACAGGCAGCCAAGAAAAAAAATGAATGCACAATTTTTACCTGCAAACATGTGCATTATTTATCTTTTTAAAGGTGAACGTATTGTTCAATTTATTTTGAAATTGAAATAAAAAGACAGGGAAGCATCATCAATGTATTAAAAACGTGTAAGTAAGTGAGCGCCTTCTAAATAATAGCAGCTGTACACCAAAGGCACCATATAAAACCTTCCAATACACAATAATATACAAAAAGGTGCAGCGCTAGAGTACAAATAAATGAACATATATATACATGTATAAAATCATGCAAAAAACATAAAGTGATGCTGTGCACTCATATATATGCCACTATACGGTGGCTAATATAATGTGAGGAAGAAACTACTGTGTCCACAGATAAGTCCAACGTGAAAAATGTGAACAAGATCCCAATCGATCCATGGACTTCCAAACAACATAGACTGTGCACGTGGTGAGACAGTGAGGATACAGATTACGCACTCACCAGATGCGCAACCTTTATGCACCTTTATATATTATAGAGACTTCCAATATGTCATCAGAGGTCTGGTCAGGTCTGGTCAGGTCCCCTTCGTTATCCCATAATCTGCATACAGCCTTCTCTTTAGGTGATGACCACTCTGTAGATGCACCTGGCTCCCAGAGGAGCTCAGAAAAAACAGAGAGGGCCAATAGTGCGGTATGTCTATGGATGCTTAAGTGAACTTCTCGTCTTCTCCACAAAGTTCTTTCTTTCGGTCAGCTCAGCTTCCAAAATTTTAAACTTTTTTGGGTTTGTTATGGTCTCTTCTAAATCTTCCAGATCCCATTCTATGCTCCTCAAGGAATTTCTGAGCTCATTGATTGTCCAATCAAACTCTTCAGCGCTGGTCACATTACTTTCCTGTAGGAGCTCACACCAGCGTTGATACAGACCACGGCTGGTATTTAGTGACTTCTGTACCTCCCTGCGTAAGTCTTGCTCCGCCTCCCAAAGCTTGCAGTACGGAAAAGAGAGCACCCAGCCACGTTCACTCCGCCTTCAAAACTTTTTATGCAGATCAGAACACCCAGCTCCGCCCCTCAACCAACAGTGGTTGCTCTGCTGGCTTGACAGTTCTTAAAAATGTAAGTGGCGGGCCATCCAGTGACATCACTCATGTGGCCCCACCTCCTCGTAACATCATTGACCCAGCATGCCCCGCTTGATGATGCCACAAGGGGCGGGGTCACACATGTGATGTCCCTGGTGGCCCCGCCCCTTACATATTTAAGAACTGTCAAGCCAGTGGAGCAGTCAGACAACCAGGAGCCAGCATTGGGAGTGAAGCTTTATTTTTTCCTTCTTTTTTGGGTAGCATTGGCGGCGGGCATCATGATTGATGTTGGATCTACTTTGGGGGACATTATTTTATTTTTCTTCTTTTAATAAAGGACTTGTCAAAAACAGTCTTCTGCCTTTTTTCACACTACACACTTTTTTTGTGAATGGGTAGCGGTACCATGTACCCCATACTCATTTACATAGGGGGGGCGGGATTGGGGTGCCCCTTGCTCAAGGGGGCTTCCAGATTCTGATAAACCCCCCCACATGCAGACCCCCACAACCATCAGCCAGGGTTGTGCAGAAGAGGCCCTTGTCCTCATCAACACGGGGGGAAGGTGTTTTGGGGGGGAGCCCCCTCCACCCCAAAGCACTCCCCCCATGTTGAGGGCATGTGGCCTGGTATGGTTCAGGAGGGGGGGGCGCTCGCTCATCCCCCCCCCCTTTCTTGACTTGCCGGGCTGCATGCTCGGACAAGGGTCTGGTATGGATTTGGGGCGGACCCCCACGCCATTGTTTTTTACATGTTGGCACGGGGTTTCCCCTCAAAATCCATGACAAGACCTGAAGTGCTTGGTATGGATAGAAGGGGAACCCCAGACACCTTTTTTAAATTATTTTTGTAATTGCCGTCAATTCTTTCATTTACATTCAGCTGTCAGTGGGGAACCTCACTGACAGCTGAAACATTAACACATGGTTTTCACTACTAAAATACCTCATGACTTGATAAAATAACTCATGCAGTATTCTAGTAGCATTTTTTGGTGAATTCAAAGTTTTTTTTAAAAAAATGCTACGCGGTATCCTACCACATACTCGGATGCGGTAAGATACCGCTTAATGAATTGTGCCAGTGAGCCTCTCACCGGGCCCCTACTGATCCCGGGCCCTCGGGCAATTCCCGAATGGTCAGCTTGCCCCTGCTTCTGTGATGATGCAGGTGAACAGAAAGAGAACTCTCTTGGCAACATTCTGTCAATAAGGCAAGATGGCATGATGCCATCTCTGACTGTTTTTAGTCATTCTTCAAGAGGTACATAAATATCCTACAGCAATAGCAAGGCATTTTTCAAATTTTGTCAGAGCTAAACAGTTTGTTCTTATCTACAGGTACCCCTTGCCTGTATAGGCATTTTTTTTAGTAAAGGTGAACAATGTCTTTCATTCCTATTTTTCTGCCTCCACCTCACACATCCAAACATATATAGCACCCGCTACTGTTGCTAAAGAGTTAGAGAAATTTAATGTCTCACTTAGTAGTTGGATTGAGCATGTCTGAGTAGGAGTCAAGTCCAGGTTAGACTGGATGACTCAGCAGGTTGGGCCTCTATCACCTCCCCCTGGTTCTGGAGGTCCATGGCAGCTTCCAGAAGATATTGGTTGTTGGGTGGAGACCTGGATCTGCATATTCATGGCAGTCTAGCCAGTCCCAGGCTGAAGGCTCAGTGAGAGGCCAGATTACAATTTATCCAGAGCCAAAGGATACACGGACATTGTGAGTACATCTTTCCCGCCTTGGGGCCTACAGGAGAGAGGGCTGCTAGGTGCAATACTTAACCAGTTTCTCCCTAAACCAGTGCTGAATGCCTGTCTTGGAATCTCTTACTCCAGGATTTTCTTCAAAAGACAGCCAGGTGGATGGGCATTTCTAGCTGGGGTCGGAAGGGAATTCACTCAGAGGGGACCAGGTGCTCCTCACAGAGACTGTACTATTGCTTTAAACGTAAAATGCAGCGCTGACAAATGAAAGGTACCAATGATACAGATGCACAAACAATATGGTAAAATAAAAATAAATATAAAAATGGAACTGAAGTGCAATAAAAGTTCTGTGAAAGTGCTCTCTGCGTTTCCAGTGCATATGATAGAAATGCACACTAACCAGAAGCACATTCAAAATATGCGGTGTGTAATTATTCTGAAGACCCCCCTCTCTCTGGTCAGAATATGGACTGGAACTGAAGAAAATGAGGAAGAAGCGCCCTCATGTGGTGAAAATGGGATCCAGAAAGTCAGAGATCCCCTTCCAGGGATGTGTAAATAGAAAATCCTTGATGGTAAAAAACTTTCCCCTCTCTGGAGCTGGTGGATCGCATCAGGGCTCTGAAATTTGAAAAGCTCCGAACGGTATGTCTACTACTGGCTCAGACTTGTCATGCCTCACGTCTACAGTTATTTCACAATTACTATTGGTGGTACGGATTTTCTTGGTGTTAATAACTTCTAAAAATTCTCTAGTGGCCCTCACATTGGGCTCGAAGGGACACATGCGGACAGTGATGGACTTCATTGATTTTAGGATCCTGTTGAGAGACTGTGCCACTCTGGCTGAAGTATAAAGTTCAGGATCTACTTTATTGTACATAATGAGGAAGTTACCCTCAGAGTTATAACTGCAAGTCCAGTTGGGCATCTCATATACCCCTAAACCCTATCCAAGATGTTTATGCCCTAAATTAAACAAGAAAAAAAAAGCTCTTGGATTAGTTACTGACTTTGGGGGTGAGCGCTACACATATACCAAAATACTAAGGTCTGCGTTGACCACATAAATACCCACTAGAGTCAGGCATGGTCAGAAATTGCTATATATACACTACATGACTGAGAAGTAACACATCCATCCAAATTATTGATTTTAGCTGTTTTTAATAAAAGGGTACGTATAATGCTACAGCATACAAAAACAATTTAGACAATTGTCTACAGGTTTAAGCATCATGTTTACTCACCATGACAAGTTTAAATACCATGCTCACTGACATGGAAAGTTTACACAATCCCTCTTGATGTAGCAGATCCAGCCTGGGAAACCGGTCAAGGTTGATCAATTACTTAACCCCCAGGATGTTATTTGTTTGATTGTCAGCTGACCAGTCTTGGACTGTATGTTGCTTATGTTGGATCTTGATGCAGCAATATGAAGGTTTGAATTACGCTATATTGGCTCTGTCATTCCCCTAAGCAGTGATTTTTAGAGAATGCATTGTTCTGAGACTTACACACATTACAGGAAAATGCTGTTGTTTTTGATCTAATGGATTAATACAAGCTGAGGTTTAGACTCAAGAAGCACCAGAATTAAATTGAACACTTTATCATTTGGAATGTTGAACTCTTCCAATAAACCACAGGTGGGTACATTGAGGCAAGGATGGACTGCATTCATCAGTTTACTTCAAGTGGAAATAACCTAAAAATAAATTGCATGTTGATAACAGTATATGCATGAAATTCATAGAACAGTAGCTGTTATATATGGAATGAATGAATTCAACATAAACTGATGCATTCTACTACATGGTGAATAATATTATCTGTGGCTGGTTGATAATTATATGCAAGATCTGTATATAAAATACAGCTACTGTACTGTGCAAGAGTCTTAGGCAGGTGTGAAAATATGTTGTAAATTAAGTATACTGTCAGAAATAGGTGTGATAATAGTTTATTTTTATCATATGACAAAATGGAATGTAAATGAAGAGAACAGAAATCCAAATCAAATCAATATTTAGAGTGACCACCTTTGCCTTCAAAACAGCATCAATTCTTAGTACATTTGCATACAGTTTTTGAAGGAACTCGGCAGGTAGGCTGTTCCAAACATCTTCAAGAACTAACCACGGATCTGTGGATGTAGGATGCCTCAAATGCTTCTGTCTCTTCATGTAATCCCAGACAGACTCAATGATGTTGAGATCAGGGCTCTGTGGGGGTCAAACCATTACTATTAGGACTCATTTTTCTTCTTTACACTGAAGATAGTTCTTAACCCCTTGGCACCGACAGATCCTGTCTCTTTATGGGGTTTCAGATGGTGGTAGATGGAGTGGAGTTTCTGATCATGTGACCACTGTGATTGGCTGTCACAGTGGTAACATGATCAGAAAGCTCCAGATTATAAGTATAGATTGGGAGCTTTCCATTAGCTGCCAATAACTGTGTTGGGAGCACACAAGGGTGCGCTGCTCTTGGTACAGCTCTGTTTATCTTTAGGTACGCATATTATTATTATTATTATTATTATTATTATTATACAGGATTTATATAGCGCCAACAGTTTGCGCAGCGCTGTACAATAAAAGGGAGACAGTACAATTACAATACATTTCAGTACAGAAGGAATGTGGGGGGCCCGGCTCATGGAGCTTACAATCTAAAGGAAGAAGGAGGTGATACAAAAGGTGATAGCTGCGGGGGATGATCTGCTGGAGGTGATTCAAGTACAGTTCTTAGGTGGAGGTGGGGTAGGCTTCCCTATATATGCTGGAAGGACTTAAATGGCATTGTTGTATGTTTGGGGTCATTGTTCTGCTGTAAAATACATTTGGGGCCAATCACACAGCTCCCTAATGGTATGGCATGATGGACAAATATCTGCTGGTATTTCTCAGCATTGAGGACACCATTGGTCCTGACCAAATCTCCAACTCCATTTGCAGAAATGCAGCCCTAAACCTGCAAGGAACCTCCCCCATTATTATTATTATATCACTCTCTAGCCCTCTGGTGAACAAACTGCCTCCTGTTACAGCCAAATATTTAAAATTTTGACTTATCAGTCCAAAGCACTTGCTGCAATTTTTATGCATTTTTTTTTGCTGTTTTGAAGGCAAAGGGTGATCACACCAAATATTGATTTGATTTGGATTTTTCTTCTGTTTATTTACTTTCAATTTTATTAATTGCTAAAAAGAAAATATTAACACTTCTATTTCTAAAAGCATTCTTAATTTACAGCATTTTCCACACCTGCCTAAGACCTTTGCACAGTACTGTACCTCCTGTGCAGCGAATGGCTTTCATAATGAAGATTATAGCCTGCCTACAAACTGTATTCAAAGGTTACTACCTGTCAATGATATAAAGTTAGAACAAATATAGTGCATTTTATTTATTAACAGATAAGCTATTTTCTGGAATAATTACTATTTTATTACCCCCCTGGGGGTTTTTGTTTGGTTTTGAGCTTATTTTTCTATGAATGATCAGTGGTTTAAATTTTGTATTTTAATAATAAAGTGGTGTCTGTTTCTTGCACATCTGGACCTGGTTGTATAGATGGTAAAGTTGTTTTTTTAAATATTTGCATTTAGAGATAGTTATTAGTCCTTGGTAGTTATTGGAGAGTTGTAAATTGTAATAAATTAAACTGCATTACTCTTGGGAGACTCTGGATGCATCGATCCACTACACCAGTCTTTGAAATTACAATTATGTGTATTTCACAGTTGAAATTATATGGCATCCAATATACTCTGATGTATGATTTTAACCCTATTTTAATGATGTTACAAAACATTTTTCATATTTTAATACTATTCTGTTGAGGCACATTTAAAGTATTATTTTAGTTTCTCCACTTCCAAGGTTTTAGGATGTTGGATAAAACACTTAAAAGCTATTGACTCTGAAAGTATTACTTGGACTTGGCAGCGCCATTGTTTTTTCTAGTTTTTCTCAAATGTGCAATTTTTCTCTGGGGGAAATGGTACAAGGAAGGCTTTTTCTGTTGCAACAATACCTGACCTCACAAATGTCCTTTCGGCTGTCCTTTTGGGCATACATTCCCACAGATACACTCCAAAATCCTGTGAAAAAAACTTTCCAGGAGAAAGGAGACTATTATCAAAACAAAGATTGAGGTGGGGCACACTCCATATACAGTAGGTGTGATGGTTATGGGTCCACACTATTTTGGCCATATATTGTATTATATTTTCACGTGTCTGATGGTGTCTGGCAGAGGAGCTTGATGCAATGAGGAAAGCCTCTCTTAAACCTCTGATTCGAAGCTTTCTGGTAAAGTAACAGGAGGCGCAAAGGCAGGGAGTGGCACAAGTGCCTGTTGGTTCTTTCAACAGCTGCATCCACAGAGTGAAGCTGGACAACAGAAGCAGTTCATGGCCACTGATACTTAACAAGATTGGCGAGATGCCTGAAAGGAGCTAGGTGGCCACTGGCTGGAAGCAGGTGAACAACAGCAGGCACTAGGCTGGAAGGTGGGTGATCAGCAGGCACTTGACTGGCTGATGGAAGGTTAACAGATATGAAGTTGGCAGGCGGGAAACCTATCTGGAGGATGTCTGATCAGTAATCACCAGGTTGGCAGATATACAGTCAGGTCCATAAATATTGGGACATCGACACAATTCTAACATTTTTGGCTCTATACACCACCACAATGGATTTGAAATGAAACAAACAAGATGTGCTTGTGCTTCTTCCAGAGAAAACTTCACCAGAGTGAATACAGAAGGTTCACCACAAGATGTAAACCATTGGTGAGCCTCAAAAATAGGAAGGCCAGATTAGAGTTTGCCGAACGACATCTAAAAAAGCCTTCACAGTTCTGGAACAACATCCTATGGACAGATGAGACCAAGATCAACTTGTACCAGGGTGATGGGAAGAGAAGAGTATGGAGAAGGAAAGGAACTGCTCATGATCCTAAGCATACCACCTCATCAGTGAAGCATGGTGGTGGTAGTGTCATGGCGTGGGCATGTATGGCTGCCAATGGAACTGGTTCTCTTGTATTTATTGATAATGAGACTGCTGACAAAAGCAGTAGGATGAATTCTGAAGTGTTTCGGGCAATATTATCTGCTCATATTCAGCCAAATGCTTCAGAACTCATTGGACGCTGCTTCACAGTGCAGATGGACAATGACCCAAAGCATACTGCAAAAGCAACCAAAGAGTTTTTTAAGGGAAAGAAGTGGAATGTTATGCAATGGCCAAGTCAATCACCTGACCTGAATCTGATTGAGCATGCATTTCACTTGCTGAAGACAAAACTGAAGGGAAAATGCCCCAAGAACAAGCAGGAACTGAAGACAGTTGCAGTAGAGGCCTGGCAGAGCATCACCAGGGATGAAACCCAGCGTCTGGTGATGTCTATGCGTTCCAGACTTCAGGCTGTAATTGACTGCAAAGGATTTGCAACCAAGTATTAAAAAGTGAAAGTTTGATGTATGATTATTATTCTGTCCCATTACTTTTGGTCCCTTAACAAGTGGGAGGCACGTATGCAAACTGTTGTAATTCCTACACCGTTCCCCTGATTTGGATGTAAATACCCTCAAATTAAAGCTGACAGCCGCAGTTAAAGCACATCTTGTTAATTTAATTTCAAATCCATTGTGGTGGTGTATAGAGCCAAAAATGTTAGAATTGTGTCGATGTCCCAATATTTATGGACCTGAATGTAAGCATGTAAGCAAGGTCAGACTAGCCAGGTCGGTAACCGATGGATGGATTAGGTTAACATCTTGACAGCGATGT